ACAGTCAATTGCTTAAGATATGATTCTAACGTTGGAAGCAAGGCAGAAACTAAGCTTCTTAGAGGGTCTTGTATGTTGAACATGTTTAATATGAATTCCACAATGTCCGAAAAAGCTAGCAAACCTCGTTCGGACTTGGATTTCTTTTGAGAAGTTTGAGGAGCAGCTTTTTTATTTTTTTTATCTTTGTTGGGCAATGGCGGAAAATTCTTGCTGCATCCAGGGATTGGATCAACAGGAGCCTTCGGTTTTGTTTTTTCATCCCCATTACCCTGGGAATTTGGCAATCGTCTGGAGGTGACTTTAGTTTTCTTACGGCGCACTTTCGGGGAGGGGCATTTTCTTTTTGAGGAACCGTCTATTTTTGAAGGTGCGTGTACCACCGTAGAATCACCTTCATCGGATGAGTCAGAGTCCGATTCTTCAACTGACAAAACCGAAAATTGGTTTGCATCTTGGACGGCTGATGCAGCCTTCAACATTTGAGCATATGTCTGCTTGGAGCGTCCAGAGATTGAACGCTGCACTTTATCGGAGTGCTGTTTGTACATCGGGCACTCCTGCAAGGGGTGAGGATTCTCGCCACAGTAAGCGCATTTTACTGATTCTTTGTGGCAAGAATCCTCTTTGTGGTTTTCACCACATTTGCCACAACGAGTTTTGTTGCCGCAATGGCTGGCCGAGTGTCCCAGCCTTTTGCAGTTGGTACAATTATATACCCTCTGTACAAACAACCGCACCGGAAAAAAAGCACCATCAATTTTAACAAAGTTTGGGAGAACTGAACCTGCGAAAGTCACCCGGAACGAGTCTGAATGTTTATAAACTTTTTTACCGTCTAGCAAAGATGCTGAATGCAGTTGCCTTACATCCAGTATCTTCACTAGCGCGGTAGCGAATGTCGAGTTTTTAAAAGTTCCCGAGGCATGTTTCAAGTCCTCGACAGTCAGACTCGCGTCGGAGACCACGCCTTCTATCTCCACATCTCGAGAAGGGATGTAGATGTTGTACTCAACACTAAACAACTCGTGATCAGCAATTTTATTTGCCACATCATAAGTCGGTGCTTCTACACGCAGTTTGTTGAATCTTTCTTTGTGTACCAAGATTCCCGGATACTTACGCAGCAAATCTCTCGTTATGTCGAGAGTTTTCAAAGGTTTATTTTTGGGCCGAAAAAAGACAACCCATGGTCCTTTCGAAGACGGTTCATAGTATCTGGTTCGCGTAACGTAGGCATCGGAAGATGCCATAAGTGTTGCGCAAAAGCGGTGCGCAACCACTTAAGAAGGAAAAAAAATAAAACCTTCACTAATTAATTAATTTTAATTACTAGTAATTAAATTTTTTGCCCGACGTACGAACAAATCAAAAAAAAAAAAAAAAAAAAATCGAAACAAAAAAAAAAAACTTATATCTACTTGCAAAAAGTTGTCTCACTATGACCCATACTCCCCTACCAGGGGTGAGAGACAGAGTCACGCGCCACGAGGCAAAATTAAACTACAATAGGGAGGCAATGGACTTGCAAAATGTATTGTCTAATACTTATGCCGGTTGTAAACAACCTATCAGCCGTTGCAGCTAGATGGTCCGTTTGCTGCTGCTGGTGGTGATGATTGGTGTTGGTGGGTCGGCACGATGATGATAAAATGACTTGACGACCGGATGGATTACCGGGGTGGATTAAAGCTGGATGGCAACTCCAAGGGGCTCGGCCCATGGAATTCCACTTCCTCTGTTGCACACTGGTCACTTGGGGCACCCAATGGGGGGTGAAAAAACCGCTCGGGCGGAAAAAACACCGGAAAAAATTAGATGCCGCGCGACTGAGACCGGGACGTTGTTAACCGACTGAGTGTTCAACTAGGAATGAATCGTACTTTTGTCCAAAATTCAAAAAATCAAATTTTTTGTGTATCTCAAAAATGGCTCTACTTTAATTTTTCTGACCACGGCATTGAATTCAGCGTAGGATTTTGCATTAGAAACGTTGGTCAACCACTAAAGTTCACACTTTTTATGTTTTTTTTGTCAATAACGGCCGAGCTCTGGAAGCGCAGATCGCTCTTGAAGTCCTGGGCGATTTCACGGACCAGACTCTTGAAAGGCAACTTGCAGTCAGCAGCTCGGTCGATTTCTGGTAGCGACGGATTTCACGCAGAGCGACAGTTCCTGGCCGGTAGCGATGAGACTTCTTCACTCCTCCGATGACCATCTGTTCGAGAGGAGCCTTTCCTGCGGTGGACTTACGAGCGGTCTGTTTGATGCGGCCACTATACGATGTGGATACGTTGAACGCAATCTGTTGAATAAAAATTTTAATTACCCTGCACAATCATGGGCATTGACTCCAAGCAATATTTCATCAGATTCCAGACAAATCTGTACGATAGTAAATAGAACAGAAAATGAAAATATAAAAATGAGGTAAGGAAAATAATTAATTAATTTATCTTTATTAGGGAGGCTTTCAGCCTTGGGCTGGTTCGCCTCCAGAAGGAAAATAATTAAAATATGGTTCAGATCAGTGTTGGCAAAATCAGAAATCAATTGATATTTTCCCGCTCTCATGTGCTCGCAATATCACGCGTGATATTGGAACAAAATATCATGCTTGATATTGATTTTACAAGCTCCTTTGATATTGCGAGACTATTCACAACGCACAAAAATCAAGCTGAAAGTTGACTCGACACAAAAATGATTCCGTTGCACCTCGTTTTCTTAGAAAGAGAATGTATAGTTTGCTATCTCTTTTTACTGTTCACCGATGGCAGACACGAAGTGACTGCTGCCAGTCGTTATGGAAGTTTCGGTTGCATTCGGGTGTAAAGCAAAAATCATATAGCGAATTCGTTTATTATCGGGGTTAACACCAGTTCCAACCCAGTGCGAAACCGAACTTTTTGTCAGTGTGAACCTCAACCTGAACTAGGTTTTAAAAACAAACGAGCAAACTGACGTTTGTCAGAAAACAAGCAGATCCAATCTTGATACCCGATCCAGGTTGGAACTGAATAATAAACAAATTCGCTAATAGATTGTTGAGATTTGCAACTGGTGAGTTTTGTTAGCTTGATATACCGAGCTGCGATATCACAGCTTGCCAAAAAAAACCGTAGTTGTTTGCTTTTTGATTGTTGTGTACGAAAATCAAGCGTGATTTTGGGCGTTAGTGAGTTTTGATTTTATGATATTTTCCCAAAACTGGTTCAGATTAATACCTGGTTGAATAAAGGTACGCATTATCATTTATTGTATAAGACCGCGTAGGCCTACGTCACCATTGCGTTCAACCCCATAGGGCTGTCTCATCTGAGAGAGAGAGACAGAGAGAGAGAGAGAGAGAGAGAGAGAGAGAGAGAGAGAGAGAGAGAGAGAGAGAGAGAGAGAGAGAGAGAGAGAGAGAGAGAGAGAGAGAGAGAGAGAGAGAGAGAGAGAGAGAGAGAGAGAGAGAGAGAGAGAGAGAGAGAGAGAGAGAGAGAGAGAGAGAGAGAGAGAGAGAGAGAGAGAGAGAGAGAGAGAGAGAGAGAGAGAGAGAGAGAAGAAAATGGCCGCCTTCCACCACATGATTCATCGCACGCAGACTCTTCCACTCAGCGATACAGGAAAGGTTAAGGAATTACAGTACATCTTCGAAACAGCGAGACTCAACGGATACAAGGAGACCACAATCCAGCCAATCATCAATAAAAAAAAAGCATGAATTCTACAAAGGAGATTATTTACAACCCTCACCGCAGCACCTGAACCCTTGAAACGAGTGTCCGTTCCATTTGATCAAGATATTACTTGTAAGCTAAGACCACAGTTAAAACAATTCGGATTAGATTTAGTTTTTACCAGTGGAAAAAGGCCTAACATATGAAAAAAAAAAAAACAAACTCACCAACAGTTCTGGGGGAGAGGGCTAGATAATTCTGGAGGGGGCTTGGCCCCCTTGGCATCCCCAGTAACTACGGCAATGGTGCCTGGGTATCGAATTTAAAACATATATTCTTCAAAAAAAAAAAAAAATAAGCAATAAATTTTGTAAAGCGCCAATCAAAAAATTCTGTGTTCTAATTTCCTCCACGTTTCTCGTATTATATTTATGATCGTCACTTTCTCTTTCAATTTGATCAAACAAATATCAAGCCAGAATACCATTAACTACATTAAAAATAAATCCATTAATCAAGTAAACAGTTCTTCGCTTCACCAATAACCACTGCCAAGTGTTTAAAGATTAAAAATGAGGAAATGAATCTACGATGCACATCCTGAAAAGTACCAGCAAATTGAACTTTTTCGGGGAGATTGAAAAATCACGATGTCATATAATTTTGTCCTGTGCTGTATTAGCCGTTTGGTGCATTACTCCAACTGCCAACTCCGAATTCCATTACTCTAAATTCCATACCATGAAGTCATAGCTTTGAATGACCTAATAACAACCATGTCAATACCCAAAAAATGTAATTCTACGGAAACGGTTTTTTTTCAGAAAAATCCCTGATTACAGTTTTATCGTCGCCAAAAATACTCAAAAGTAATTTCTCTCTCTCCCTCTCTTGGAATTGGCACCTTATTTAAGAATGTTCCAAATTATTCATTGTGCCATGAAAAACATCCCGTTGAAAAACCTCCATTCCTATAGTAATCCGTTCCTCTGATTTTAGTTAGAGCGATTTGGTCAAAATAAACAATCCCATGCAAAACGGCTATAAATACCCTGAGTACGAGAAACACGTCACAGACACCCGTTTGGGAATGATGGTAAATCGCACAATATTTATACTTATCACAAACTAATGTTTGTTTGCACAGCATTAGCATCGATCCTAGGTTTCCTCTCATAAATTGGCGTTTCTCGTCAGTTGAAAAAAAAAATCACTTACCATATCCGCCAAGATGCGATACATGACGCGACCTCTGTGGACGTACTTATGTATCCGAAACTAATTTTTGTTTTCAATATAGAATAATGCATTTATCTCTGGGGATCATCTTAATATACAAACATATATCGATCTAAATATTAGACATGTTGCGAGAATGATACGCTTAACTTAATAAACTTTTATTTTTTGACATTTGCAACTGCCAGCGTTGTGTCACTGCAATCCGTGCTACTGGTGTTGGATTGGCTGGGATCATTGTATTTTTCCTTTTCCATTTCCTCGGCATCTGCATCGCTTTGAGTTTTCTGTTTATTTCTCTTTTCAGCGATCAGTTTCCGAATGAACAGCACCGCAACGATTTTCTCCATCAGTCCGATCAATCCCAGCACCGACAGCCCTAGCAGGAAGCCAAGCGACCCTCCCAGATCGGCAACGAACTGGGTCAGATCGTACCCGTGGAATTCTTCGACGATCTAGAATGGGATGATGAATTTAGTTTTGACGGATCAAAATGGCCTAACCCGAAACGTACAGTGACCATTTTCGAGGTGTAGTACAACCAAACCTGTCCCGCAGGAATAGATATGTTGAAATGCTTTCTGTTCATGACGTACGCCGTGAAGATGGTCGTCGAACACGGCTGGTAGCATCCGCAAATGCGACTGTCCAAATCTTCCAGCAATTTGTAGTGCTTGATCAGCTGCTGCGTTTCATTGGCCGTGTCGCACAGTTCCTCCTCAGTGTCCGGCATCCAGGGACCGGTACAGCCAACGATGTTAATTACGTGGCGCCAATGGCACAGTTCGCTACACTGTTGAATGTTTCATGATTGGATTGCAGTGGGAAATTATTTTAATTAGTTACCCTGGTAGAGCTCATGTCCATATGGGTGGTGCACATATTTTCCACACTCGGCAGCATGTAGAAATGTTGGGTGGTTAGTTTTACTTCGACCTCTTCATCCACCTCGATGAATAGATACTCCACTCGGCCGGATGATTGCATGCGATTTTCTGTGCAAGTGTAGAGAGAGGTTTATAAATAACGAATGCGCCTGATGCATAGGCTAGCTAGGGGAGGTGAATATACAGTGAAGGAAATTCCTATAAGCGCATGGATGTTTTTCAAATAATTTCTTGAATATTGCCTAAGAATCCAACATATCGATATTCGTGTTATAGGATGTGTGGATGTAATGTCGGCCTAAATGCCCCTAATTTGGGCCCATACATAAATTCAGCAATCGACTAAATTTTCAATATCGACTAAAAATATCCTTTAGTACCGTCCCAATGACGCGTTCATCTAGATAAAATTGATAAATAGCAGCTTTTTAGCGATGGGCCCAATCTTAGATCCATAGGCCAACATTAGAGTCATTTCCCCTGCATGGCTTCTGCCTAGGTCATCTTATGTGTTTAAATTTATACTTTTGGAAATTTTGCATTTTAAAGAGGTTGAAATCGTTTTTGAAGTAGTAACTCATCAAGAAACCAAGCTTGCAAATGCTGATTATAGTTAAAATGCAATTTTTCGGATTTATGAAGCTCTGAAATATTTTGATGATAATTATTATTTAAAAGATGCAAGAGGAGAAGGGAAAGTGTGTGTATGACACATAAAATCTGTCAATTTACCTTTCAGAGGGTCACCATAATTGCGATTAGCTGTAACGATGAGCAACGCGATGAGCGAGCAATCAGCGATCATACAATCGCTAGTTGTGACATCCTGAAAGTAAAATTGACCAATTTTATATGTCACTAGCTGAGTGTGCCCGGTCTTGCTCGGGATTCAATATTAGCTTGAGTTTATGCGCCGATTTAAAAAAAAAGCATGCTATATTGTACGTAGCCCCCCTCCCTATTATCTAAGGGGCTACCCCCTATGATTATCTCCTTATACCCCCACACTCGCCCCCACATGCCTAATTTGGTTCCATTTGCTTGATTAGTTCTCGAGTTATGCAGAAATTTTGTTAGAGTGAGCAACCCCTTGCTACTTGGTATACCCATATTGCGGACTTTACTGTTACTACTACTACTATAGATTCGATCTAGTGTTCACCTTTTTGACAAGTATCTTTTACTTTGCTTTTCTGATTCTGATGTTAAACACGAAAGAATAACATCGTTTATTCGTTTTTTTTTTCCAATTTTCCAAAAACCATTTCAAATTTCTGTTTCATTTGTATGGGAGCCCCCCCTTACAGAAGGGGGATGGGTCTCGAACCAACATAAGAACCTTCCACGGCCCCAAAAACCCCTGTATACAAATTTTCACGCCAATCGGTTCAGTAGTTTCCGAGTCTATAAGGGTCAGACAGACAGACAGACAGACAGAAATTCATTTTTATATATATAGATGCACAAACTTTACCATATATTCTTGCTTCTAATAAATAAAAATTATCATTATAGTATCTCATAGTTTCTGAATAACGAAAAATAGAATTTCAACTGTAATAATGATTTCAACAATTGCGAGCCTAAGTGATTCATGAAGCATTTATTCACAGCTCTTATCAGCGATTTATATTGGTAAAATCATTAGGGGCTGTTCATAAACTACGTAGACATTTTTTGGGATTATTGACCCCCCCCCCCCTCCCCTGCGTAGACAATTGTACATACAAAAAATTTTAAAATTTGTATGGGCCGTGGATAATTGTCAACTCCCCCCCCCCCCCCCTAAACTGTCTACGTAGTTTATGGACAGCCCCTTATGTATAGTAAAACTTTTGAATGTCCCTCAGAGTCCAATTGTTGCACGCATCATTTGCTTTGAAATTCTATTATTCCACAATTTGTATCTAATTAGTGCACACCCGTAAAACATGGCTAAATGTATCTTGGAATTACATTTTTGAGCAAGAATAATTATTCAGTGATTCTGTGATGATTAAACAGAAAATTTCGTTATGTTCACTTACAATATCAGCAATTTTATTAATTTAACTGATGCGGTCAATATTATTTTCCTCGATTTGATTTCCGTCGATCTTGTTTTCCGTGCTGAGTACCAATGCTACCGACACCAGGAAGGCAGCTCCCATCCCACACCTGGACCCTACCTATCGACCCATCAAGTCATGAACCGGGGACCAACGTCTTTACTTCGCTTCGTAGGAAGGCGTGATCAGAGATGTTATGCCTCAGAACATCCCGGCGGCGCCGACTGGGATTGAACCCAGGCCTGCTGGGGTGAGAGGTAATCACGCTTACCACTACACCACCGGCGCCGTTAACAGAGCTACCCCGTGTAATGATGAAAAATAAAATTTTACGATTTAACCAATCTTTACGAATAACAGTAATTTCAATTTTAACCGGGTCAGTAATCCAAAAATCCAGTAAAAATACGAACACCTGTATAAAAATCTAAGTGTGTATACAGAAGCAGCGGAGCTCCACACTCCTCCATCGAAACAGCACTTCAGCTGAGCTGCGAGTGCTATGAAATAAAAAGAATATCGACTTATTACCACTACCTACTTCTCTCCTTTCCGCTCTCAGAATTCGCCGATTCGGTGTCTCTCGTTGTGTTTTCTGCTGAGACTGAGCAATATTCGATACCGCGAAACATCTCCGCAGTTATGTTTTCTTTCGGCGCAGGAGATGTGCGGTAATCAAAAGTTAAGAATGTAGCTAAACATTTACAATAACATTCTACCAAATTTTCATGTGCGTAGTCCACTGCAACAGTCGAACGTACGAACGAATAGGGTGACTATAGCGCATTTTATGAAAACGTCACAAGTTTTTATGGCTGTTTTAAATCAATAATTACGAAGAAACCATTAAGCCAAAGGCACAAATCTAGGGAACTGCATGGACAATGTTTTTTTGAACAAGTAAATAAACAAAAATGAAAATTTTCAACTTAAAAACACTAAAATGTATGAAATTTTACCAAATTTTTTTGTACTTTCAACATGCTTTTCAATTTTAATGTATGATAATTAACTTTAATCGAGTTCTTTTTCGAAGAGCATTGATAGCTGAGACTTTAATCTTTCATTTGGTATGTTGAAATCAGAAAACCACATTAGGATTAAAAAAATATAGCTAACCAAAGTTGGCAATACAAAAAAACATTGAATAACTCACTTAGCAGTGATTTCCGACCCTATTTCATGGGGACTTTTTCATAACTTTAGGAGCCCTATCTACCCTGAAAATATGTAAAACCCGGAACCAAACACCCCCAGCATATGCAGTATGGAGCAGCTCTTTATATGAATTGGAGCTCCTTTACCAAAGCGATGCCTCCTGGATAATCGCTCAAAAAGAGGTCAATCAAGTTACAACCGACCAACTCAATCGTTCGCTGGGAGGGAGATACGATTGGATCTACAAGTGCTGTGGCAACTTCAGGCACTCCGTAGTCATCGGGGTGCTTAGGAGCATTCCACACCAAGTTCTTGACCTCCAAACCAACCTACCAATCGTTGGCGTTCACCTCAAGAACGCCGCTAACTTAGCTATCGGCTGTGCGTACCTGCCCTGCGGATGGATAACCAACTTAGATGGAGAGTTAAGTGCAGCTATTTCCAAACTTCCGGAATGTGTGGAAATCGGAATCCTCCCTTTCCGCTATCGATCTGCTGCAGCCATTGCTACAAAAGCCGCTGCCCTCGCTGCTAAGACATCCGGGAACGAAAAGGTCCTTCATCCTCAACGAGGGGAACAGAGCCCTCCGCACTGCAGCCAGCCGTGACCTTCCCCCGGTGGCCAGGGTCCACTGGCAAGGAAAGAAGAGTTGGCGATCAAACGTCGTCAAAATAGATAAGCGGATTAAGGGTGGATTCCAAGCCGGAGATAACTCTGTAGCTTTGAGACGTTATATTGCAGAGCTTCTCGGGTCGGTTTATCCGGGGCACGTTCATCGCTTTACGGACGGATCGCGGTTGCGGGCTGGAGTTGGACTCAGAGTGGCAGGACTGAACACTGCAACGAGTCAAAGTCTACTGGAGAAGTGTTCCGTCTTTTCCACTGAAGCCGCAGCTATTCTAACGGTTGTTCAATAAAAAATGAGAATGATTTCAGTGCCGTTCAGCGCTCTTGTAAGAGCATCGCGACTAAGTTGCGTCGTACGGCTGACCACCCGAGCAAAGTCGGTTAACAAAATGAAAGCAAATCGATATTAAAGTGTGCAGTTCCTATCATAATGAAAACTCATTTTGATTTCAAATGTTGCGACATAAGTCTGATATCATATTGTGCTTTCATTATGCAGTCAAGACGTTTTAAATGAAAGCAACTTAACTTGAAGTTCTGCTGTTTACGTCTTGTTTAAAATTTAATTGAAATTCATCTGCCGTTGAACTAATAATTATCGTTTATCTGATTTGTTTAACACATTTTAGGTCATTCGTGACTTGCCCGCGGTGAGATTGGAGCCTAAGTCTTTCAGCTTGAGAAACATGAATGGTAACCATTTACTCTAGGCCCGTATTCAGTTAAACATTATGAATGCAAAATCAGTAATCAAATTGATTTCATTGAAAGCAGGATTAGTTTTCCGTTTGCTTCAACAGTGTAAAATTTTGCTCTCATTTTTGCTGTGTTAACCGTTAAGTCAACCAAAATGAGATCAACTGGAGTATTCAAAATAAGTTACATCATAACAGCAAATTTTGATTTCAATTTGATCTTCAGCTTTGCTCGGGCAGGGCCCCTTCTCCTATATTCATTGACGTTTTTTAGAAGAATAAACATTATTTTTTTAATAAAAAAAATAGATGCAGCCATCACTCCGGCAGATCAACCGACCCTCGTGTGAACTGAATCACACAGCGTCATCCAAGCGCTGGAAGCCGAAGCCCCGAGCCACCCCTGGATACAAGCCATTACACGGTACACCCCACCTTCAACCGTCTTTACGTAGATCCCCGGACACTGCGGTGTTCCCGGAAACGAGGCTGCGGACAGACTGGTGGGATCTGGTGCATCCCGTCCCCGCTACACCAGGAACGTACCCCTCCTAGACGTCAGGCGTTGGATTGTGAATA